CTGATGTTTTACTCCTTGATCTTAATGGGCAGTCATGAGACAACAATCAAAACCGGTTCACTAAAGCACATATTCAATAGTGATAAAAACTGAAACTGAACCGATATTAGGGGTTTGATAATTCGATTTGTCAACTTATATTCCCATACTACTGGAAGTCGTGCTTCGACCAGCGCAGTTGATACAACCATCAACCAGACACTCGTGTGCCAATTTTGGTTAGGAGGCATCTAATTCAACCAGTGTGATCTACGTAGCACAGCTCAGTTTAAAATTGCCTGTTAGCGACCTCCAGTGAGCTTCTTTCTTTTTGTATATCCATAAAGCCCAAAATTTAGTGATATTCATTGATTATAAAATAAATCCGGTAAACTTAGTGATCCCCGTTAGTCGAAAGCAGTCAAATCAGGGCCGAAAAACAGATCTACTGAAAAATTGAAGGCTACAACCAAACTGAACAATACCTTATCAGCCTGACTAGCGATGCACTAATCCATCATGACTTTTGAGTTCCAAAACATCATCATCTTATGACGAAGGACAGTGAAACGCACTTCGCAGACCGCCATCAAATCCACAATGTGGATAAATAATAGACCAACGTGTAAGGCAAAGAGGCAGTGGAACGGCTTCGAGAGTGATAAAGTGAAAGAGCTGTTACAATCAACACAGTGCACACGGTCTCATTATTGTATACAACAGCCTCTTCATACGTTCTAATCTGTCGAGAAATGATAACAAGAACACCACTGTTGTTAACTTGCCAGTATGCTTGTCTAAATCTGAAGCCAAGACCTTTGATCTACTGACTATCTATGACCCTGCGTGGTCTCCTAAAATGTGGAGCGACAAATGGAAGCGTGGTTGGGGGGCACTAGGTTATTGCTAAGCACATACACACACCGACAGAAACCAGTGAAGCCTAATCGTAAGAATTTGTTGTGAATTCTTCCCCTTAAACAAACCCATGTAGATGTCGCTCATATATATACCTATATATATATATACATATATATA